CTTTTATATCAATACAGTATAAATACTGAAAAATAAAACGTTGAATTAATTGGTGTACTCAGATGAGGGTTGCAAATGCCAGTTTCAACCATTTAATTTTCTAGCAATGTGTTTGGATAGTAAGGTTCATCCATAATGTCAGGAAAACAATATAATGGTGTTTGCTCTTAGAGAGATTCTTCTCTATGCTCAATAGTGTTGCATTTTTTAAACTTGTGCAGATAACTCTCGAAATATTAGTCTTTCTTTAGCCGAATAATACTATGATACCAAGTGTTATATGCGGTCGCCTGGGAGAGCATTGTGTTCAACGTTGACCTTCTCAACATGGCTCAAAACACGGTCTTGCTAATGTGCCCGCTTCAATTAAGGCGTCAGCTAATGTCGAAGATATATTTTCTATCACTGAAATATACAGTGTATAACAAAATATGAGTTTCTTTTTTGTTTGATAAAAGTCTTGAAAAAAATAACAATTAATTGTATAACTATAACGCCTCTCTCTTTCCAATTATCAAAAAATTGATGTGTTGAAATTTAGCTCAACATATTAATATTTCTGATGCTTGGATATTCTAGCAGGACAATGACTCCAAGCATAAAAATAGAGTCGATTCAAAAGATTATGGACTGGCCATCTAACAGTCCTTATTTAAACCCGATCGAAAATCTTTGGAGTATTCGTAAAAGAACATTGAGTGTCAAGCCAATGCATGTGGGAGAGCGATCGTGCTTGAGATTTAAATGAGATCTCTATTAATGTTAAACCAATTAGTGACCTTAAAAATTGGGTTTCAGATGCTTTATCGGTCTTGTATATGTTGTATGTAAATCCCGTCACTATGTAAATACGGTTTTTAGGAACCCCAAACGGGATTTACATACAACATATTATAGTAGTTTATTTTATTACCATTTCTTGCAATTATTTCAATCTTTTTGGCATGCTACGAGCCAAATTAACAAAGGTCTCAGTTTTGACCCCATCCCATTCTTTCTGAATTATTTCACGAAAAGAATTGCTTTTTTTTTTTTTACTAACAGTTTTCTCCCATAAATTTTCGATCGGGTTAATATCTGGACTATTAGACGGCCAATTCATAATTTTGCTTTATGCTCGGATCATTATCATCCAGTTGTTTTCCATAATCGCATTTGCATTATCAAAAAGATTTTCAGTTCGATAATGTGGCTGATTTGTGGCCTAAATTTATTAAAGTGGCATTATATTCGATTGGTAGTCATAGGGGATATCGATCATAATAGATTATTAGGGCATGGGAAATCGGGACCATAGAATTTTGGGTGGGATATATCTGAGTGGGATACAAATGAGGTAGATTTATACTGATAATAAGGGAAATCCGTCCAGTTGAAAAGCTGGGATATAGCCGAGGTTGGGATACAACGGGGGGGATACAAATGAGGTACGACCGTATTCGTGCTCGTAGAGTATTTGTTTGCTGAGACAAGCTGGCCGGGGCAGAGGGTTTAAAGAAGTATTATTTTTAAGTTTTTGTATACAGTGGAAAGTGGAATAGAAGTTAATTTGTGCAAAGTGATTATGTCATATAATGATAATAGTCATGTTGATTAAGCGAGGGTTTGGTCATTGTGTGTTGAATGTAAAGTTAGGAAACATGTAACAAAAATCAAAACAAAATGTCGTCGCATTATCTAACAGGCTTTGTTAACACGTGTTATACAGCTTTTTTTAACTGGTTGAATATGACAAAGAAAATCGAATTTTATTATGATACATTTTATTCTCTTTACTTTTTTCGTGCACTGTAAATCTGAAAAGCAATAATAATAATGCATCTTGATAATTTTAGTGTTGATTGATCGTCACACAATCGACTGAGGTTTTGTGTGGCCTTTGTTAGGTACACTTGCAGTTGACCACCATATTTGACAGCAAGTGTTTTGATTTCTCACGCCGAACCCCTGAATCAAAACCTTATAACTGAACAAGTCATATGTAAATATGATCATTATCTACCGTATAGCCTTCCTTTGTGTAATAGGTGTGTAATCATGCATCTCAGTATAGAAACTTTTAGAAGGATTGTTTATTTTCGGGGCTTATTTTCGGAACTATACGGCATAAACTTATATACCGTAACATGAATCATTGTCGTCCCTTTTCCAAGAAGGGATAAGCGCAGCAATATTAACTATCGCGAGGAACTTTTATTCACAACGAGGTGCTCGCTAAAGCCCAGTTTAAGCTGTTGCGCAGCAATATTAACGGCGACAATAGCAACGATAAATGTAAACGTGAAACAGCGACCCAATATATTACTATAAAAGAAATAGCTGGATACCACGTATGTGAGAGTTTAATCCATCCTATAAAACGAAAAGGCGTAATGAATGTCATATACTTGTGGTCTTTATTCGGCGCTGTCATATACTAGTGACTATTATTATACTACAATAGGAACGGGGGTGACTGTATTGTTGGGTGAAAATGGCTAAACTCATTATTTATTTTTAAAGATAATTCAACCTTAACGATCATTATGGATATCAATGATGTCAGGTACGCTCCTATCACACCATTAATCACTAACTGTTATCGTATTTATACGAATTAGAGAATATCTCTCAAGCCTCTATCCCCTCTCAAATCTCTTCCCCCCTCTCAAAACTCAAATTTCTATCCCCTCTCAAAACTCAAAACTCTTCTCCTCTCTCAAAACTCTTTAAAAATGGCTTTCAGAAACAACGAGTGCCGCTATTTCTCAACGGCGGTAAACGGTAGCGGTGGCAGCGGTGAGTAATGTACTGTGTCTTTCTAGTATCATAGAACACTTAAACAAGCAATATTACATTTCAGAATTGCTCACTTTGAACGGGCATGGCAAACCCGTGGGGGCGATTGTATCAGCTCGGCCTGGCCGCCAACCATGTGATGGACGAAAAAATAAATCGAGTGGAGATGAAGATAGACGGGGTCGAAAAGGCGATGAACGCGAAGATAGACGGGGTCGGGAAGAGACTCGATAAGAAAATTGACGGGCTCGAAAAGAAGTTGGACGAGCTGAAGTGGTTAATAATAAGAGGGCATCACAGGTAATGATTCAACATCTAACCGATTTGTTCCCTTAGTTGATGTAAAAATCAAAAAAACTAATCCAAGAATTATCGTGGTTATCAATAGCGATAATAATAATGTTCCGCCCAGCAAGGAGCAATGAATCAAATTGATTTTCTTTCTGTGTGGATATTTCACAAGGAACGATCTCTGTCCGTATTCTTTCTAAGAAATTTCAAGATATCTATATTACTGAGACATAATTTGCCTGCAACATGTTTAATTCCTGGAGTGCATTTTATGGAGTGGAGAGAAACAAGGAAATCATGTGTGTATTGTAGATATCTATCTAAGCAAGGTAAAATTGAGATTGATTATAAAAATCCTCAAACTCAACTTTGGTGTAATAAATGTAATGTACCTCTTTGTGTTATAAAGCAAGACCCAATTGTTTTCAAGATTACCATACTAAAACATAATAAAAGTTAATTTAGTGTTTAAATTTATCCAATTGTTGATTTAAATTATTTTTATTATGGGCCTTCTCAATAGCTTTGATGCCCGATCAAATTTGGAAGTCGTACAAAGTAGTAGGGACAGCTCTCAACAGCTTTCTAACTAGAGTAATACCATATTTACCTTTATCGCTATGTGATAAAATTCATAAGTAGAATACGCGCATAAATAACGCCCTTCTGTATGAGACTGTTATACTATTACTGATGATGTTATCTATCAGCCGGAAAAGACTTATTGCCTTCATAGTAACAGAAGTAATAAATCTAAACAAGAATTTGATGCAATATTAATTGATATAGAATCAGCATTTCTGTTTGATTCTATGTCAATGATTAAGTACATCTCATTTACTTCGGCCAAAAACAATAGCTTATTGGACAGACATATCTTCGTGGCAAAGTTTGAATTATGTTCATATGAAAAATAAACAATTTCCAATTTAGGAATGTCCCTTGATGCCCCCACCAAATAATTTCCATTTTTAGGGGTAGGCTAAAGCGGAGTAGTTTTTTTACAATTTCATTGGTTGATATACAATGTAATTGCAAGAATCAGGTCACGTTCTACTCCGCTTTAGCCATCCTCTATTTTTATCATCGATTTTTCCAAATTTGATCGGGGCATCAAGCTGTTGAGAAGGCCCTATATCATGCTACTTTCCTGGAAAAATTTGCTTGTCCTTAAACGTAGATTAACTCACATAGAAACGTCTGCTGACTATAATCTTTGCCTTAATAGATTTGCAATAAGTATGTCAACGATTTGTTTAAGATTAATAGAGGGGGGAATTGATTAGTAAATTTTGTTAATATTAATCATTGACCACGTGAACATTATCCTTCCTTGAAATATGTTAAATTACACATCTAGACGTAAAACTTTTATTATTAAATCTAATGAGAATGGCATAGTGACATATGTGTATGTAATGGTGCATGCCTCGATAGTCGATGCAGTTGTAGAAAAGCGAGACAGGGTCGTGATGTATATTGTTAGTTCTAATTGTCTACTATGATTGAAAGATCATAATACAGTAATAAAGCGTTTATCATTTTTTTCTTATCAGGGGTAAATAAATTATCCGCGTTCAGGGGTGATTTGACGTAAATTATACTGTATAATATAAATCCGGGATTTATATTAATATGGTGACGCAAATTATATACAACGCGATCATTGTATATTAATATTACCCCTCGCCAAAACTCGAACATAAATCGAAAAAGATCAAATGTAATATAATAAAGCGTTTTATCATTCTTATCAGGGTAGATAAATTATCCGTCACATAAAAATCATGTTTGGGGCCATAAATTTGCGCTCAGGGATGATTATATAATATCTATTGCGTTATAATTATATATAAATCCGGATTTATATGGTGACGCGGGGTATTAATATACAACAGATGCATCCTTAACCATTGTTACCCCTCGCCATCATGTCAGGGGAGATACCAAAACTCGAACATAAAGAAGCGCCCCTTGATATAGTATTTGATCGATTGAAGGTATATATATATTTTATGTAATCACATCTTGACCACTGACAGAGTTATATTGTATTCAAGCACTTTACTCACCACAGCTCAAGGCGCTCAAACCACAGACCTTACTGAAGAATACACGGTTCAAAGTTCCCAGCACGGCTCAAAACACTTCGAGCAAGTCCATAATAACTACTCGTGAGCCTGACCAAGAACCATCAGCAAATATTCCCGATCAGTCCGAGACTAACGCCATGGCTCAAAACACTCAGGACACCACGGCTGAAGACACTACAGCTCAAAACATTACAAGCACACTTGACGCCCTTCATCTTGACCCTCCAATCACTCCACCCGAAACCGTGGAATCCCTTCGTGCATATGAAAAAGGGCCAGGCGAGGCACAGAAGTTTTTAGGTACGACCAAAATTTGCTTTACACACGCTTATTATTATATATTTTGTTTCCCTAACCGATGTCTTTGCAGATCGCATGGTACATGGCTTCACGTGGCCCGCTTCGATGCCTGATTACATTAGAAGTCAGGTTTTACTGATAATGTTGACGCTCCTGAAGGTGACATGGATCGAGAAATCGTGGCAAATTTTCTTTACTTCTATAACAGTCTCGAGACTGATGAACATCAGAAAGACTGGAGTATGGGTCAGATGAGTATACGAAGCAGTAATTAACAAACCTCGAAGAGGAAACGCCCGCTGCCATTTATATCCCAGTTGATCCATTACTTCGTGAAAAATATCTTCATCCAGTCCCCGCGTCGAAGGGCGGTGAAATCTCGGCGTTCCAATTATGGAGAACACCTGGTCTGGATCGATTGATTATTGCTAAAATCAACTGACTTACAATAAAAGAGTCGGATCAGGGGATCAAACTTTTATCATAATTGACTACAAATTTTATGAAGCTTTGGACAATAACAAGTTGTACAAGACCACGGACGCACCAGAAACAATATTACCTTATACCATCCGTCGAGGCCTTGGAAAAAAGGGTTAGAACAATTATTGTACCACTGCTCCGGGCTATGGAGCACCTGGTAGATTGTGAACCATTTTAGTGTCCATTGGGGACGACAATTGGGTCAAACTTAACATTCTTCGAGTTTGGGAAGCAAAGCCTGGTGATCAGGTAGATTCTTCCCTGATTGGAGATGACGTTTAGATGGATTCAACTATGTCTACAGGCGAAAAAGTTCATTTACGTTCCTGAACCTTCGGCGTAAGTCTCTTTTGACAACATTTTTAGATAACCTATCATAACTAATCATGTTGTATCAATACTTTGCATCTTGGTTCGAACTTTTAATTATTTAAGTAATGATATTTGGATTATATTCATAAAAAAATTTTAAAATTGTAAAAATGTAATACATTTTAAAACGAATGTCAATTTTTTACTACGGAATTATTTGATTGGTCAAAAATTCACTCCCATGTATTTTATTCTGCAGCGCTCTTATATAACTTAGATTTCGAACACCAACTTGTCACTTGATCGTAAATAGTGATAATTCGTAGACGCTGGGAGGGAAATTGAGTACTAGAGTGATGAATTCAAATGGGGATATAAAATTCATTATATAAACGACCTTTCTCCCAGGCGAAAAAAGTAAGTTGGTTACTGCTGAGGGTAAAACTGAAGTGGAACTACTTCCCTGGGGTGGCTTCATCTCTTGTAATAATAAAATATTAATATCCGTTATTGATTATTGGAAATGTATTATTTTGTTCTCTACCGATACTTTGATGTAAGAATTCCCTAGTGACTAATAAGACATGTTACGGAATAATAAGCAGGGCATGAAAGGTATTTGGCTATTCTCTGAATTGACACTTTGCATATTAAGTTCTTCGCAATTAATAAGACAAGTAGCAGAGTATCCGTCTATCGATGCTTTGTTGTAATATCTTGGCGACTAAATGTTAGTAGAATATTGGAGCCATATAGTGTGATAGAGACACAAAGCGAAATGCGGATACTCTTAATGAAAATCCAATTGGAGCATTACAGTGGAAAAAGAAATATTAATGTTGAGGCTGAAATTAACGAGAGAATCTACGATATAAGGTATAACGGGTATTAGATATTTTATACATGGGCGGCATTTCTTCGTCCCTACGTTTTACCAGGAACATCTGTTGAACCTGACCTTCGGTGACATATTATTCGTCTTCGTCTGTATGATGAAACAGCGATGTTATTAATTCCCTAAATATATATTAACGAAATTAATAGTAATAGGCCATTAAGAGTAGCGGTTAAATCTGAAGTGTTGTATTCTTATTTAATTGCTTATAATTTATAATTATTACGGATAGTATTGAAAGGCCGATGGAGAATATATATGTTGCCTGATATATTCGAGACACGATCCCAATGTAAGTCTGCGAACAAGAGTACTATGAAACACGAATCATGAAAGATAATAGTCAACGCAAAATCATTCGTCTAGCAACAGTAAAATCGTTCGTCTAGCAAGAAATAATTAGTTACGATAATGCCTGATCTTAAAGATAGAATTATAAAGATATACTTAAGTAGTATAATAACGTTGGCTAAGTCGGTGGCCTCATCACTAAGCATATCGACACTACAGGGCCCCCTATTGTCACGCTTCCCTTATTAGATATTACCACAAAGCATCAAAAATTCACGTGGTGGTTCAGACAATGGTTGAAGTATAATTTTTATTATCCAAAGAACAAGCAAATTTATTTTTCGAAATTCATAGGGAAATGAATCGGTACAAGTACTGTTATACCCAATTTAGCAAATTGCAAATACTTTTGCAAAACGTGCAGCACATAATGACTTTATCTAAGATTAATCTATCATGCCTGTCCCCAACTAAAAAAACTTTCAAGTTTTTCGATTAGGTTATCATACTTCAAGTATTCTGCGTCTTGAAAAATTCTATCCCACAATTCTGATTTGGCATTAGACCCCCAAAAGGCCAATAGATTTTGCGCCCGTGATCTGAGGTCAGGAATTCTATCAAAGGAAATTCTCTCCATTATCGCCCGTTCCGGTTTATGGAGCATCAAGTAAAACGCCCTTGCCAAACATATCAAGTCAATGATGAATCAATCCATTGACATGCAATGCATTTAGAGGATCTCCTTTTGCAATAAATACAAAGTCTGGTTTTCGGGTAGCCAGAAGGGAATAGAATGTGAATCTTGAACTTCAAGTTGTGACTTCTCAAGTTTTTGTAATATTCTGCATTCATTAATAAAGTATTCTTGTAACATGTATTCAGAGACCTCAGCATTAGGTGGGCTTTTGAACTTTCCGGTTTGTCTTGTTTGGGTCATTGCAGTCAGTGAAAATGGGAAATTAATATCTGTACCACATTTTTTCACATGGACACCCTTTTCAGTTTCTGTATTGGTAGCTAAACACAAATATCAAATAGCATTTTAATTTGCAGGAGTAATAATCAGGTTTTTGTATGGATCAGATTGGCAACATACCTGGAACACTAAGCCAGATTTCACTCTGAAGTCGTGTTCTCTTTACTTCATGATGTACTCCTTCTACTTTATGATCTACTTTATCTAGTGACCATGTTTTTGTAGGCAAGGTAAAAAAAATGGCAAGATAATGGGAACAGCTCTCAAAAGCTAAGCCATGTCACATTCACTTGTATTGATAACTTACCAAAGTCTTGATGTATTTTTTCAAATTGTCTCTTCAGGAATGGCATAAACTCTTTTATGTAAGCAAGATAAAGGTGTTGAGATAATGAGAATGGAAACAAAAGCTAAGCCATATCACATTCACTTGTGCTGACTAAATTTATTACACTCACCAGTTTCAATGTGTGGGTCTGCAATGTTTTTTGGGTGTGTTACGGCAAGCTGATCTGATGAATCAGATAAGTAAGTCACATGGTAAAATCTTCCTCCGCAGTCAAACAACCCC